TTCAAGCTGCAAAGGCCCTGAGTGACTGTCTCCCCCGAAATCATTCATTTTACAGAAAAAGAAACTTAGTTCCACAGCTGTGATTTATTCGATGTTACAACAAGAACTTGTGGAAGAGTTGGGCTAAGAACAGAGGTGAAAGAGGCTGGAAAGTGATTCTTGCAGTGTTAAATGATGCAGCTTCATCATTTTCAGCAAAAACTTCAACTTTACAGCAAAAACATTCTCTCACCGAGTTTTACTACATAATGAAAGATTTCAAAACATGCTAATGCTTTCATGCTTTTTAGCTGACTATCCTCTTTTTACTCTAAGCTGACACCATATTTATTGGTTGAAGTCTCGGGAGGAAAGATGTAATTGCTGTGTTCCTAAGATATTCTAGGTGCTATTGTAGGTGATTTTTTTACACGGTCACCCTGAACACAGAGGTCATGTTACCTGCCTAGAGTCACAGGGCCTCATTCAAATGTAGACCTCACCATAGGGCCATCTACTGCTCACTTCAGACAGCTAGTGAGTTCAGACCAACTCTCTTAGTGCTCAGGGAAGAGAATGCCACACACATAACCACCACAATGACTGACATATAGAAGACCCTTAGTTATTTGTTGATGACCATTATTTTTTTACTTTTTCCCTTAGGTGTTAAGAATAAACAGATTTGAGGGATTTTTCTTATGGATTCTTTAAAATATTGACCATAGATTTGTGTGTGTGTAAGACTCAGAAATAAACACACACACACACAAACACACACACACACACACACACACACACACACGCACACACATATATATATACATATATATATATACATCTATAATATTTTATTGATTTGGGGAACTTTGAATCTGTCTATCTACACTAGTTTTACTTGTTAGAGATTTTTATGGAACCATTATCCTGGGATGGGGGTATGAAAAACTATCCTACTCCAGGCAGTGGAGTTGGGAGTCTACTCAGATGACTTTTCTACTCCAGAAATCTGTGGTGAAGTGACTTGTGTGATTCCACACAGAAACAGCATGGGCCTGTCCAAGGAGATACTTCCCACCTCACAGGGCTTTGGTTCTATGGTCTGGGTTTGGTGAATCTCTCAAAACTACTTATTGTTAAGTTCCCAGAACATATTATAGCAGGAATAGTAGTTAGGAAATCAGAGTTATTTTACATAAGAAATGGAATATGGCAATTTAAGTTATAAATGCAGGCTAGCAATATGATTAGCCTATAAGTTCCAGGAAGCCTAATATTTAGAAGGCTACATTTCTACCCTGCCAGTTTTAGAAACAAGAGTGTCACAATCTTGAACAAAAGAGGTCCTTCTACCAGAATGTAGCGTCACCTAATATTGGTCCTTACCCCGACCTGTCTCTTTGTAGTTGTGCCAACTAGGCACAACGGTAGAGTTACATTTGGCTCTAGGAGAGAACAAGATAAACTAATGTTTTTGTGCAATTGCTTTATGATATGTTTGTTTGTACTCAAATATTAGTTTCTTCCAGTATAGAGAAATAAAGTTAAAATATCAAATGCTGTCACCTGTGCCCTGGCATCCTCAGAGCAGTTGCTTAGATCCCTCTGGTGACTCTGGCTGTTCTTATCAGTGCTCTAAGGCCCTCCTGCTGACCACCTGTCCCCCTCTTTTGTCAGTCAGACCCTTGAATGTACCGAGGCCCCTCGGACAGAACCCCACAATATGCCCTCACCTTTGTAGAGAGGAGCTTCCCTCCCAGCTGAGTCCTGTCCCACCTGGAAAAACTATACCTTCTCTGAGACAACCTGCCCATCCTCCTGACCAGGTTAAATTACAAAGTACTTAGAACCCTCCTTCATGGTGATCATGTAGATGAGTATTCACATTCCTTTATTAGAATATGAGTTGTTCATTTTCTCCCCCACCTTCTGCTGTAAACTCCAAAACCATAGAAATATCACCTGGGTCATAGATTTCTGTAGCTAGAGTTTTCCTGCCTTGCCCACAGGAAAAATCTTTGTCACCTGCCAGTCCCACAGCCGCTCAGACCCAACCAAGTAAACACAGAGACTTATATTGCTTACAAACTGTATGGTCGTGGCAGGCTTCTTGCTAACTGTTCTTATATCTTAAATTAATTCATTTCCATAAATCTATACTTTGCCACATGGCTCATGGCTTACCAGCATCTTCACATGCTTCTTGCCATGGCAGTGGCTGGCAGTGTTTCCCTTTCCCTTCCTGTTCCCTTAATTCTCCTCTCTGTTAGTCCCGCCTATACTTCCTGCCTGGCTACTGGCCAATCAGTGTTTTATTTATTGACCAATCAGAGCAACAGATTTGACATACAGATCATCCCACAGCAGATTTCAGTATCTTTATATTGATGAATCCTTGGGAATATGGCATATGTCTTGCCTGTAGTCTTTCCAGAATGTCTGTGTTCCTGAAAGCAGGCAAGTTCTGGCTTATGGCTGTTTGGTCTCCTGAAGTCTGTATAAAACAGGGATCCCATGTTGGGTTCACTGGGAAGAACTCCTAAATACTCAGTTCAGGTGCCTTGGAAGGCTAAACACCCTGCATTTTCGTTTCAATATGTCCATCTAATATGTAGCAGGGCTTTCCTGAAGATGTGGGTTTTGGAAAGAATTTATGTTCTATTCCATCTCGTGTCTTTATGGGGGTTAGGGACTTTACTCTTAAACTGAAAAAAACTTTCTTGGATCTAGGATAATTCATGTAATTCATGCACTTTTCTGAAAGTATGTTACATTTCAACGTAAAACTTGAGAACACCTTAGAGGCTTTAATGAAGGAGGAGGACGAGACAGAAAGAGATCTTAAAGTGAGATATAGGAACCCATAGCCTTCCTCTTGTGATTTCAGGACTCAAGAAGGAGGGGCTGGAGAAACAACACTCACTTTAAGTTCAAGGCCAGCCCAGGCTATATACAAGGTCTAAGCCTGCCAGAACAGGTTATGGAAAAGGCCAATAGCAAGGACCTAGTTAGATAACTGGACTAGATATACAATGGAATATTAGAAGACAACGGTAACAGGGTACAATTAGATGCAGTGTCCTAAGTGACATTTATCCTTCACTCCATTCAGACAGTACATCCACAGAATTTAAAGGGAAAAATGGATGGGCGGATCTGGAAAAGTATAATATTAAGTGAGGTGAGCCAAATTCAGAAAAAGCCATAAATTTGCTTTCATATATGGATTCTAGCCTGGTCTGTAATGTATAGATGGGTGGACAGATTGATAGATAGTAATGTAAACGTGGGTAAAGCCTAAATACCAGAAAAGAGGGTGCCAGAGCCATGGTTCAGTGGTTAAAAGCACTTGCTCCTCTTGCGGAGGACCCAGGTTTGGTTCCCAGCAACCACATAATAGCAGCTCACAACCATCCATAACTCCAGTTCCAGAGACTTTTTTTTAAGACAGCAAGTTCTTTAGAAAAAAATCCTGTTGCCTACTACAAGAAACTGAAAAGGGGAATTTGAGATAGCTCAACAGTTAAGAGTGCTTACTGCTCTTGCAGAGGACCGGGGTTCAGTTTTTTGCACCCATATAGTGGCTTACAACTGCCTGCAATTCCAGTTTCTGGAGATCCAATTTTTCTTTTGACTTCTGTGGGTACTACACACACATGTTGTACATAAACTCACCCAGGCACACATACATTCATGTAAATTTAAAATATTAAGAAAAAGGAAAATATCAGAAATATTGCTTACGCTAGTTACATAATTGTTAAACAACCAATACAGAAAAGCATCACATCTTTAACTGCAGAGCAAGCAGTACTCTATCTTCTGGTGTTGCAGGTACCACTTGATGGTATCTATCTATCTATCTATCTATCTATCTATCTATCTATCTATCTATCTATCTCTTGTGCATTCACCATCTCCTATATGCTAGTCCTGTGTGGTTCTTATGATTAGAAGTTACCCTTGGTGTGTTTCATATGTGTTTGTCTGTGTGTGTGCTCAGGTGAACAAGTTTGCTTGTGGATACCTTTGGAAGCCAGAATTCAGCCTCAGATGTCCCTTGTTGTGGCATCAACCTTGGTTGTTGTTATAGTTTGTCTGTTTCCTGGGTTTGTTTGTTTATTGTTGTTTTTTTGAAAGGGCCTCTCACTTACTGGCCTGGGACTCACTGAGTAGACTCAGCTGGCTGACCTCTCCATTATTGGATTACCATGCAGCATTCATGCCAACATGCCAAACTGTTTTTATGTGGGTTCTGGGGATTGGACTCTTTCTGCATGAGAAGCATTTTACCAACTAAGATATCTCTCCAGAACCACTCATCATTGATTTATTTTTCATGCATACATTTTAGAGTCTTTGGACATAAAAGTCATTCAAAATCATCCATAACTGAGTACTAATGAAAATGGGAACCTAGCGTCAGAACTAGGATGCTTGTCAAAGTTCCCCTTCCTCTTGGAGATCTGTCTTACTGTCAGGGCTGACCTAAACACTGTCTACCCACTTCAGGGGAAACCTCGCCTACAGCTTAAGGCCTAAACCCATTGTCCTCAAGAAGAAACCCCTAATAAATGAGAAAATGTTAATGCACAAAGCCCACCAGTATCAAACTACTTTCACAGTAGCAGTGCTATCCTATGATGCTCCTAAGATTTGATTATGAAAGCCCTCCAGCTTCAGGAAGAGAAAGTCAAAGGTTTCATAACAACCACCAAAGCCATGCCCCCTTGAGGGCCTGTGGCCAAATCCCTGCAGATTAATCCGAAGAAAGGAAAGAAGCAGACCTAAAACCCAGAGTCTACAGACTCACTCCCTAAGCCCAGTGAAACTATTCACAGCGTTCTAGAATGTGTGTGGATCCCAGACTGGGAGTTCACCAGCTTAATTTACATGTGCTGTCCTTTTAGAGCTTTTATCTAGTAGCTGAAAATCAGAGCAAGAAAAGGAACATGAGGGTCTCTAATGAGAAACATGAACACCAAGCAAAGAAGTCAACAGGAGCCACTGTGCTTGCATTCGGAACTTTATTCATGCCACAGTTTTGGGGTTATGCTAACTCTGGCAGGATGCCTTGATAAAGGGGTAAAGTAAGGAAGACCAGGGAAGCTGACAGAGGCGGGGGGGGGGGGATCAGAAGACATAGCAGGAGGTAAATTTTGGAAGCAGGGCTGTCCTTTTGTATTTAACAACAGCAATCATCCCCGTTGTCACAGCATGCAGGACCTCGGGACCTCATGGGAATAATTCCCAAACAGCAGCACCCAGAACCACAGCCACAGCCTCCGCAGCCTCCAGAGCCGCAACCTCCAGAGCCGCAGCCTCCAGAGCCGCAGCCTCCACAACCCCCAGAACTGCAGCACCCAGAATCCTCACAGCAGCTAGAAGATCCTGTGTTCCATCCTTGGGGCCGCTGGACCCAGCGTCTCAGAGGACTCACCCCAAAGGTCCGGGGAGCCAAACAGCAGTAGCTCATGGAACAGGGAGCAGAGCATGGGTCAGGGACACCTCCCTGAGAACCCGAGCCACTTGAAGCAGCCTGAGTGTAGTAGGTCTGGCTAGGAGCTGGATACTGGACATAATACGTCTGAGCCTGGCAGGGAGCTGGACATTTGACACAGGTCGTCTGGCATGGGGCTGGACACTTCACATAGGTCGTCTGACATGGAGGTGGGCACTTCACATAAGTCGTCTGGCATGGGGGTGGGCACTTCACATAAGTAGTCTGGCATGGAGCTGGGCATTTCACGTACGTCTGGCAGGGAGCTGGGCATTTCACATAGGTTTTGGTCTGGCATGGAACTTGATATCTCACATAAGTTTGAGCGGGAACTGGAGCTGAGTATCTCACGATGGTTTGAGGCTGGCAAGGGGCAGGTCCTGGAACATAAACAGTTTGGGCCTGGCCTGAAGCTTGACCTGAAACCTGGCCTGAAACTTGGCCTGAAACTTGGCCTGAAGCTTGGCCTGAAACCTGGCCCTTTCCAAAGGCACCACCATTGCCACCTTGCCCAGCTCCAAGTCCCGAACCCTTCACACAAGATGGAAGAAACTGCGGCTGCTTCTGCTGGTCACACATCCTGCTGTGGTTTTGAAAATTCTGAAAAGAAAAGATTTATCAAAACTGCAAGGCTAGAAAGATTTCCAGAAAATTCTTCAATGCATCCACCTGGAGGGTAATCTAAAAAGGTCTCCTCTTTGAGGTGGTTAACCCCCAGAGGCTGTCCATCCAGCAGTAAGGTAGGTGGGGAGTCAAGGATTTTAGGTTCACTTCTTGCACCTTTAACTGGCTGTGTGACTTCAGACTCGTCACCATTCACCCCTGAGACTATTTCCACACTAGGAAACAGAGGGCTTGAAACAGCAATTACATTTCCACCAAACTCTCTGTTTCCCCTCTTTACTTCAGCATCTACATTGTGGATCAATCTTGCATTACTTTTCAACCAGTTTACCCTCCACCACTACTTCATGGTAAGTGTTCCTTCTTATTTCTTCCAATCCGGGAAGTCCTTGGGGAGGGCAGATGTATGTGCCTGAGCTAACCTGAATCTTAAACTGAAGCTGACAGAGAAAACTCAGGCTCAAGACTTAGTCTTTACCATTTGCCGTTGGAACACTTGTGTATTGGTTCACCTTGTTAATAAGTAGAACCGAGAAAAGATGGCATAAATGCCCCCAGAGGAACCCAGTTCTCGGAAATCCCTGTCCACGTAAAACTGCCACTTCCCCTCTCAGCCCAAGTCTCAGCTTTCCACATCAATGGCATCCTCCTTCTTCATAGATGTCCTCAGCGTCTAGTCCTTGCTCATTCTTTATCCCAGAGTACTCCACCCCCACCTCCACCTTGACTCCATTTCTTGCCAAGTCCCTATCTCAGGTAGTAAGACTTACCTTCCTTCCTGGCAGGAGCAACACTGGAAGAAGCCAAGGCTCTGAGGAACTGGCATTTGGTGAGACTTTTTATAGGGTGGCAATGAAGCAATTTGATGCCATTTAAATGAAGCACCTGAGATCACGAGGGCAAGGGCTGGTGTTGCATTGGTGAGATTCCTCCCCAGTATGTCTGGCTGTTCAGTCAGAGGCAGAGCATGTCTCTACTTGACACTGAATTTTCCTAAATGTGAGATAAATGGCCACCTTCTTCATGAAACAAGTCTTTTTCTTTTCCTAGAAGTCATGAGTGCAATCTCACTCTAGTATAGGGTCATTCAGTTGAGACTCTCAATATTTCATACATGGGGCAAAATGCCACTCTATGTCCTTCCAACTTGACATTTACATTACTTCTAGGGACTTTGGTGGTGGTTTCTTGCTGGTCTGGGTTTTGGGGGGAAAGATTTTGCCATGGTAGTCTCTGGCTCAGTATAACAGGAAGAGCACCAAGAACTTGTTTATTCCATTGGCCATAGGTTATTCAAAGTTAATTTGGGAACTAGATGGGTGCTGTATGATCTCAAACCCCAGAGGTTAGGTCTGCATTGGTTCATCACAGCTTCTCCTGTTCCTCAGCTTATCTTCCTGGACCTCACTCCCATGAGCAGATTCCAGGAACCTAGGATTGGAGGAATTCCAGCCAAATGAATGTGAGGGATGACAATGATAAAAATCTATCATTTAGTTAAATGTTTCTATGTGCCAAGATGTTTATGAGACAGATGTATGCAACAGAGGCCTGAAGGATAGAGGGGGTCACAAAGCATCCAAAACAAGTAAGTGGGCAAGCCAGAATTCAAGTGCAACCAGTCTGCTGTCATAGGCATGATCTTTATCACTGCCAGATAGTAGCTTTCATGATTGAATTGTCTTTGAACAGCAGCCACATTTTCTTTCCTCAGTAAAGTAGATGTATAAAGAAAGAGAGGAATAGTATCTCCAGCATTATTGAATACTGTCCCAGTCTGTGTCTGTGCTTAATCTTCCTCACAACTCTATGAAGTAGGCTTTGGAGAAAAATAAGACCCAGGGGTCAAAGTTTCTCACCATAGTCATCATTGTAAGCTCATAACAGAGGATCATCAGAACTCAGACCCATCCAACTTCATAGCCCATACCCTTCTCACTGAGCCTTGAGGGAAGTGGGTGGTATCTGCTACAGGAAGCTATCAAGCCTGTGCCTGGAATTGGCTTCAAATGCCACTACTTCAGATCACCCAGTCAAGGTTTCCCAAGGTCACTGTGGCCTCTTAGGTGGAAGGTGGTTCTAAGTTGGCTCCAAATAGATCCTCAGTTCCCCAGAATCCATAAACTCTTTCCTAGTGAAAATCAAAGTACCACTAGTTCACTGATCCTGCCACTCTCCACTCAGGTCTTACAGGCTTGGAAAGTGTCCTGGCTCTTCTCAGCTTCTCCTGTCCCCATGTAGGCTTGTCATACTGTGTAGCATCCCTGTGAAGCCCATTGACTGTCAGGAGGAAGGAAAAGTAAAAGAGATTATTGGCTCAGGCCATTATAGTCCTCAGTTGTTTCCTAGAAGGATGGTTCATGGAAAGGAGAAAGAAACGATGTCTTAGGGGCTGGAGTGGAGAGGTGTTTTATTTACTCTTCACATAAATAACTTGTCAGTTTAGTCTTTGTAATAATGGCTCAAATAAAAGAGGACATCCATAGACAACTGTGAAAAATCTCTTAGCTAAAACTAATAGAGCCACAATTTAAAACCAGGCATGAAATAGCTCAGAGCCTATTTTGTCTCCTCACCATGCTGCTTCTGAGTGGTGTCCACCTGCTCAGTTGTACAACCCTCTACATTGCATGTAGTGCCAGAGTCCAGCTCCAGCGGAGTTCTGAAACATAGAATGGAGGTGTGGAGCTGGTGGGAACAAAGACATCGACCACCAGTTGTCCTTCAAGAAAGTGGCCCCGAATAGCTCAAGCTGTCCTTATTTATACAAATTCTAAAGCATCTGAGCATGAGCAGTTTCATCTCTCTTTGATCCTTACCCAAGACTCATGACATTTACCCAGTTTAGAGTCTTTTCCTTGTCCCCACTCCCTTATCGTCATTAATTAACCTTTACCTCATATCTAAGCATTAATTAACCTTTACCTAGGCATAAATTGACCTTTATCTCACATCTAAGCCTGAATTTTATATTGCAAGCCAAATGATTATATCTAGCCAGGATCCTCCTATTCATATTGTGCCCAGGCTGGCAGCAGACACATGGTTACAAAAATGAAAGACATTCAAGCCCTATAGTTAGTCTTTAAAGGTATGGTGTGTTCGTATTTTTTCAGTCAGCAGAGGGTATGATACCATTCCTAGAATAATATTTTCCAGGTGAAGGTCTTAATAATTTCTAAATGATCTACATATCACTTTTATGGGAGCAGCAGTTTTATGATATGGTCCTATTCTTTTTTATACTTTCTCAGAATGGTAATGATTGATTCCTAACTCTTAACTGTTGGGACCAAGTTTCTATTCTTCCTGGCAGTTTCTACGTGTACTGTTGCTTCTGAGGGAATTGGGAGTTTTAACTGAAACAATATCTAACCATTCATGTCCTGGCACCAGAGAGATGTCTGACCTTTCATGCCCTTTATCTTTTCCTTATATGTTCCCATAATTTTTTTTAATACTATCTCTTAAGAAACCATCTCCTAAACTCCTGGAATGTAGTTACTTCTCTACAGTTAAGTAAGCAAGAAAAATTAACCTTAGTGACTTCCTTCTGCTTATCATGGTGACAGCAGAGGCATCCACGGTTAGCTTGGGGGAACAGGAAAAAAACTCAGAGTTATTATCAATAAACTGCAAAGAGGGCTTAATTCCCCCATGGAAACTTTAGAAACTTAACAAACACTCATCCAAGGGGCTCTTGCTCCACATAAACTCAGCCACAATCTGGCTGATAAAGTGAAACTAAAAATTACCTTAAGGGAGGGCAGGGGTGAGGTGAGGTGGGTGGGAGGAGGGAGAACAGGGGAATCTGTGGCTGATATGTAAAATTAAATTAATTATAAAATTAAAAAAAAAGAGTAAACACAGGGAAATCAGTCCTGAAGCACATCTGCTCCCTAGGAGCAGCACTGGGGTCCTCAGTATGGTTTTCACAGGTCATTGCCAAGTAGAACTTCAAAGGCCTTGCCATGAGGAGCTCCATTTGCAAAACACTCATGTGCCATTCCAGGAGGTTACAGCATGGCTTCTGCCAATGCAGCATGGGGTAGCACTATTCACAACAATGGCAATGACTTAGAAGGCCACCAGTTTCAGACCATGGCCACAGAACAGGACAGAGAGTTTTCAGGACACAATTGAAGAAAACTGACCTCTTGTCCTACAACTCTTCAGCACCTCTGGTTATTCTGGTCTACCGTTTAAGGGTCTGTTCTGCATACAAAATGTGTGCTCCCACAGCCTAGCTCCCTGGGGAGTTGTTTGCACTAGTTTGCGATTCTCAGGAGTTGGTACGTATGATTGATCACCATATCTCATCTTAGGGCCTGGGAAATATTAACCAAATAAGTGAAATGAATGAGCGAATGAGTGGGTATTCGTTACAATGAGGGCACAGACCAGATTAATTTCCCTCCTCCTGTGGTTAAAGTGATCCTGCTCTGCTGTTAGCCAATCTGTGTGTCTCATGCCAGCTGTGAGCTCTGATTGGCTCACTTCCTGCTCTGTGGGGTGAGGTTCTCACTAATGGTTTTGACATCTTCAAGTAACACCAACATCACTGGTGAGAGATACTGCATCCATGTGCCATGTGGACAGGTGAGTGAGCTGTGCTCCACCCACTTTGTAGTCTGGAAGGCAAAGCTGGAAGAGTCAGAAGATAGGTGTCAGAGTCAAGATGAGTCATGAGGACATCCCAGAAGTTTCCAGAGCCTCCACCCATTTATCCCTTTGGCAGCTTATAAGATCATGGACTTCTGGGTTTACACAACAACAGTCCAATGGACTCACATGGGAGTAAGTAGAAAGAATCATCTCTGAGAGATGGAGGGACCTAAAACAGGTCATCAGATATGACCTCTGGTCCTGTTCTATGTAGAAAGTCCTGGTGGGTTTTTTAAGCTCTTTGGAATCTCTTGGTTAGTGTGATTCATAATTTCCCAGCTGAATAGTCAGGAACTACATATAAGATTATCAGTCTCCAGCATCTATGAATCCTCACCAGTTCATCTCCTTATAGCACCAGCATCTACGAATCCTCACCATCTAGACAGTAATCTTGAGACTGGAGCAGGTGGACAGCATTAGGAACAGCACAATTCTTTCCATTGGTATTAACCGTATCTCAGAAAGGGACTGTCACACCAACCTCTAGCCACAGCACCCCTTGACCCTCACCTTTCCCCACCCAATACATTCCTCTGGCATCTGCAGGACCAGAGTTTCAAATACTGTTCTCTACTCTCTTCATACCATGGCTGCTGGTGGGGGCACATCCTGAGCCATCAGAGCTACTTAGCAAGTTCTAAGGCTACAGAAGAGTGTGCGTGGTGGTTGCCCTGTCCCTGATGGTTCCAGATCTCCAACTAAGCCTTAGACTGCTTTGGCTCCATCTGCCCTTCCAAACCTTTTATAATCAACCCATTGTGCCAGACCTCTATTTCAAATAGTTAGAGTGGTCTGTTCACATGGCAAGACACTGGCATCCTGAAGCACCTCTATTGTCTAGGTAATACAGAGCACACTCCAGCAAGGAAAAAGATAAATACATTTGATAAGTGAAGGAAATGAATATGTCATTTCAGCTGGTGGCAAGTGGAGGAGCAACAATAAGCCAAGTTTATTGTGGTGGCTTCCTAGGAAAGCCCAGGGAAGCCACTCAGATACCCATTTCAGTTCTCACCTTCCCACAGTGAATTCTATTGAGGTTCCTGCACAACTACAAAGCATAGGCAGGTCTGCAAGTTCAGATCCATCATAGTCAATGTTGCTGCCTCTGGAACCCTTATGAGGTATGAGTATGAGTTATCTCTCCCATTACTGTGGCAAAATTCCTTACCAAAGCAACTTATGGAAGGAAAGGTTAATGCTGTTATTGTAATGGCAAAGGGATGGCAGCAGGAGTTCTTGCAGCTGGTCACATTGTGTCTGCAGTGAGCAAGCAGAGAATGAATCCTGGTGCTCAGCTTGCTTTCTCTATGCCGCCCCCCTTTTCTTTTTATCTGAGACCCCAGCCATGATGGTGCTACCCACATTCAGGGTGGGTCATTGTTCTTTAGTTACACCTCTCTGTAAACACCTCATGGGCACACCGAGGTGTTTCCACGGTTGGTCTAAATCCAATCAGGTTGATGATGAAGAACAGCTATCTCAGAGTAGCAGAGTCTGCATCACTCCCTGGCCAAGATATCCTTGCAGTTAGGAGGGAGGGGGAAGGGGCAGGGCAACACTTCCACAGATTCCAAATTTGACCAGCAGATGACTGTAAATAGATTTGTTTAAAAACTGTCTGGATCACAGTAGTCCTTTAACTAGCCCTTGGGTGCAAAATACAAATAATGAGAGAAGCTGTCAAGATCCAGAAGTTTCCGACTTGCATCCCAGGTAGACATGGGCTGTTCTATTAATTTCTTATTTCATAGCACATATTAATTGTACAAACTAAGGAGTTTCATTATGAATATCCATATGATATACTTTGGTCATCTTTACCCCTTGGTTACTCTTTCTTATCTAACCCTTCTGCTTCCTACTTCCTTTCCATGTTCCTAAAAGCCCCTTGACTCCCAAGTCCTTTCCACCCCCTACAGTCTGTGCAAACAGAAAACATGGCACATGCCTTGTGGGATCAGTTTCCTTCGCTTAACATGCTGCATAGATCTGCAGTTCCATTCATTTCCCTGAAAATAAAATTATTTTGTTCTTTTTTATGGCTAAGGAAAATCCCATTGTGTGTCCATGCCACATTTCCTTTATCCATTCATCCTCTTGTGGATCATAGCCTGATTTTTATAACTTTGCTTGTGTGGACAGTGCAGTGTCTCCATGGCAATCTGACTGATTCTTTGGGGGTACATGCCCAGGCATGGCATGCCCAGGTTATATGGTATAGCTGGAGAAAGTTCCATGCTAATATCTATAGTGGATACCAATTTACATTCCCACCAATAGTGAATAAGAGTTTCCCCTCTGCTGCATTATTGCTAATATTTGGTAGAGTTTAATCAGTTTGTCAGTTTGCTTTATGACAGCCACACTGACTAAAATGACTAAGATGAAAATTAATATAACTCTAAATTTATTTTCCTGACATAACTATATGGCAGATTTTTTTTTTTTTTGGTAATTTGCACTTGATTGGGAAAGTATCTGCTGGGTTCAATGGCCCATTTATTGTTTGGATTATTTGCTCTTTTGTTGTCAGCTTTTTTATTTCTTTATATATTCTAGATGTTAGTTATCAATTTTAAAGATAAGTTCAGGTTCAGCAAGTTGGCTCGGTGTGAAAAAGCATGTTCTGTAAAAACCTGGTGCGTTCAGTACCTAGAACCCATAGGGAAAGGAAAAAACAGCCTCCCAAAAGTTATTCTCTGACCTCCGCACATGGGCATGTGCATGTGTGAGCACACACACACACACACACACACACTGAATAAAACCAATTAATTTAGAAACAAATAAATTCAATTGGAATTCTGGCTGACCTTATTAGTTGTTTTCACAAATACTGGAAATTTTTAGACTTTTTTCTATAAACATGTTAAGAATTAATTAGTGGTTAGTAGGTTAATTTATCTGGAGTCCAGGCAAAATGATGTCTATATTTCTACCCAAGGAAGAAGTTGGGTTTTAGATAAAAGAATAAATGTGATATTTAAAAAGCAGTAAAATTGGGACTTGACAGCAAATAGACTGATGCAAATTGCAAAACTTGGAGCGTTTTCAATAATCTGATAAATATATAGAATGACTTAGGCAAAAGGAATACAAATCCAAAGCACACAGATGGTGGTCAGAGCTGAGAAGCAAGTGTTACGTGCTTATTCAGTTGACTGTGGTCTACACCAATTCAGAGGGAAAGGGAAGTCAAACACCAGGCTGTCCTTCTTCCTTTAAATCTTCAATTCTGCAATCAATCAATGGGACCTCTTGAAACTGAGAAGCTTTTGTAGAGCAAAGGATA